ATAGCTGTCCTGAACAACTTCTAGCTGATCCCCACCAAGGGTCAGTGCAGAGGTGAGTCCCAGTTAACATTGGTGAAGGACTTTGTGTTTTCACGCTGCGGAGCGTAACCCGAAAAGACTGACAGACAGTGCTAATTTATCCAGTGCTATTTGTCATATTTGGAAACTGTCAAAGATTACGACAATGTCGTGGGATTACTCCAACTCAAGAAGTCGATCCCCTGGAAAGAAGTCCACACCTCGTGAGTTGTGCCCGGTGAATGCCGTTTCCATAACTTCTTCAATGATTTAAATTGAGGTGGAAAGGTGACAGCTTCCAAACGTTTCTCACACCGCTGGAGACATTGGAGCGCGATAACAGCGTGTCGTAAACCTTCACTCTGCCCGAGCTATGCGCGTAAAACGCTCTAATAATGTTTATGTATTTATCGGGCACACCTATCCTTAGCATACAGTTCAAAAGAGCACATCAATCACCCAAATTGAAGGCAACTTCGACGTCGAGGAATACGACTATGGTAGGTTGCCAATAAACATTTTAGTGTTGCAACAATCGAAGTGTTGCGAAGTTGTGGTCGATGCAGCCGCGACTTCGACGAAACCCGGCCTGCTCCTTGCGTATTTGGCTTTCACGAGTGCCAGTCAGTCTATGGAGGACGATAAAGGCGAGTAAGTTAGAGAGGATAAAGCTCAGAATAATTTCTTTATGACCGTTGCATTCTGAATGGGAGCCTCACTTGAAAATTGGAGCCATTACCTAGCACCTTCAGTCGGTTGGGTCAGTATTCTGCGCCCACAGCTTCAGTAGTGAATTGTGTGGATCATCTACAAGAGCAGGCCCTTCGAATTTGTAAAGGGTTGGAGGAACTCTACTTACTCATGCGACCTTATTCATTTTCAACAGTCTGACTTCTCGGTCGACTTCTGCGCATAACAGTGGGTCCAGAGAGATGTCTCAAGGAGAAGGGCGATCACTGGCTGATGGAGAAACCGGCCACTATGGATGATTAAGCTGATTTTCAAAGTATGCAGCCAAACGCTCCAAACTTTTTGACAAACTGTGGATTCGCCGTTTACTCTCATTACCTATGGTCTCACAAATATCAGGTCTCCTCTTGCCCGTTTCAAGTATCAGACGGAATAACTTGCGATGGTTACCAATGGCCGCGGCCATTTCCAACTACGATGCACCATGAGACCACCAAGCTTTGCGGTCTCTCTTCAGGCTAGCACGCAGTGTTGCTCTGAGATTTTTCGAGTCTCGTTCGCTCCCAGAAGGAATATGTCGGCAAGCATTCAGAAGTTCCAGAGACTGCATAGAGACCCAATGTTCTGCTTGGCAATTCGATTTACCACAGGAAGACATGTCTACTGCTAATAACGTCTGGTGGAAATGCGACCTGTGGCCACCCCCACTGTGTTCAGTGGGCGTCTGCATACTTTGTTACTTAATTAGTATGTCTGACTTCGCCAGCTGGCAAGTATCTATGCGGTCTCAGCGTCGCCGCATGCGCCCCCAGAAGCGAAATGTAGCGTGGGCACAAACGAATAGGTGCTCAGAATTCACGCTCGTGCTCCAAATCAAGCGACAGTTTTGAACATCTTCTCTCCAGCGGTAACTGATTGCGATATTTAAACCTCTTAGAACAAGGCTTCCTTTTCCTTAGATTGCTGAACCAACCTGGCATTAACAGCAAGTTACTTACAGTCTCATGCACCATGTAGCTAACATATCTTTCTGCTGCGATTGACGCAATGACTGCCTCTTCAAACTCACGTTTACCAGTATCGAGCAACCTCGCTAGGGCATGCGCCTGTCCAATACAATCACTTGATAGATTTTGCATGCTGAAATCCTATCCCAAGAACAGAGTCGCCCGTCGCTGAACTCCACTACCAGAGTACGCTGGAATACCCTTTTTGAATCCAAAGATTGCGCGAAGCGACTTGTGGTTCGTCAATAGCATGAAGCTCCGACCGTATATCACCTTACAGAATTTCTGAACAGCAATGACGATTGTTAACGATTCTTCCCAATTTCGTTATAATTCTTTGCAGATGCGCTCTGGGATCATGCAGCACGCGCTACAGCCCGTTCTGAACCATCCGGAAACCGTTGTGAAATGACTTCCCCGACTCCATAGTTGGAAGCCTCCGTAGTCCAGATCTCTTCAAAATTCAAGTTCAATCTCTCGAACGCTTATTGAGACCTCTATTCGACATCTTCCGTTAGTAGCTGATTCAGTGGGTAACATAAGCGATGCATACACGGTAAACCTTGCTATAGTGACTCATCATTTCAAGGAACGATCCCAGAGTTGGTACAGGCAACTGGTCTAACGCCTCCATGTTTTCGGGGTATGGTCGTCAGCCGTATTTGTCAGTCACCAATCCCAAGCACTTGAGGAATTGCACGAGAAATCTACATTTGTCCGCAAGTAAACGAAATACATTATCTTTGACTGTCATCATCACCTCATCCAGTCGTTGCAGGAAATCATCTTGCGTAGAGCTCAGCATGACGATATCATCTAATTAGCCTGCAGCTTCAGCAACACCCGTCAGCATGGTATCCATGACATGGTGGAAAATTGGCAGCGCGGTTTAGACTCTGAATGGTGAACTATTGTACTGGTAGGACTCACGATGAGTATTGATCTCAAGAAGCTTCCAGCATTCAGGATCAACTGCTATATGCAAATAAGCAACTGTAAGATTCAGTGTAGCAATGTGATTGCCTCCGTTCAGTTTGGCCAAAACAACATCAAGGAGTGGGAGTGGGTATTGATGGGGTTTCAGTGTAGAATTCACGCCAGTTGAGAAATCTGCAAATAAGCAAGTGGCACATTTCGGTTTCGTAATCACAACTATAGGAGCAGCTCGTGGTGAGTAAGTGATTATTTCAGTCACTCCAGCCTGCTGTAATCAGTCAGGCTGTTTTTCAACAAGTAATTGTGACGCATAAGAAACTCGACGCCGAGGTCGGAACTCCGGTTTTGCATCCGGAAGCGGAGTAGGCCTTGATACAGACGATGAGCGCGTCAAGGTCATGCTACATTACCTAGCCTGCGTAGCTGCATTGTGCGCGCTAGTGCGTGATTGTCCATCTCCCGACTAACCAGTGATGCTTATTGATTGGTGCAAAAGCGAATGCTTAGCTCAAACATGTGAACTGCGTAAAACTAAACAATTGATCTTGTACCCAGTGTGGACTGCCGATGTACTATTGCCATTGTTTCCACTAAACTTCCATTCGCAATACTGTTGTTCTGATTTCGGTTGAGTGTAACAGGCCTTGATTACATTTTTCTGCTGTGTTCAATTTCCGACTGGAAGACACAAGCACACTTTGCTTGAAGTGCCTCAGGTGCGTATGATGTGTATGATTTGATACAGCTGTATAGCGCACTTGATTTTTCTTTCAGAACTATCATCATTCAGATGTATATTGAGCAGCTTCAGTCTTTCAACCCAGTCCATTCCCATAAGATTGATCACGCAACGTGAGACCAAGTAAATTGTTCCGCGAAGGTGTAGATACTTGATTTTTGTTTCACATGCAATCTCACCCTCTAACCTCGGCGGTTCACCGGACACGTCTGGGCTGTCATTTGTATACTTGTATGACGGTCTGCCAAGCTTTGCCCATGTCGCTCGCGAGATGACAGGGACATGGGACGCCGTATCCAGCTGTGACGATATGGAATATCATTGATTTCCGGATTCCAGAGAACAGCCACACGTCTGTCGCATAGCCCTTCACTGCCGCGCCAGAAGCCCTCGACTGCGTGCTTGAACTGCGGTGAATGGCATTCAGTAGGAGAGTACGTGTACAAACATCGTCATTGTCAAAAGTACACAGCTTAAGACGCGTGTCGTTAGGAAGGAAATTTCTAGGCGAGCAGCCGAAGCGCCGATCGCCGATACAGAGCCAAAGCATGTCCGCCACTTCTCTGCGTGAATTGGACGAACATGTAGCCAACTGGGTGGACCGGCCAATTAGCACGAAAGCGGTATTGTTTGCTTGATCTTAAGCTGACCCATCTAATGGTATCCACGTGAACTTTACCGCTCCCGAATGTTTTATTTGACCTTTTTATTGGACAATGTGATTAGTCAATGCACATCGTTTTCTTTTGCTCTTCTGGACCCGATCTTTTCTCTTACCTGTGGGGGGGGGGGGGGATCGATGACCTCGAGTATCCAATCGATAGCCGAAGTCTAATCAAGCGAGGGATGTCCAGTTTACTTGCATACTTCCAAATTGCAACTAAGCCTCTGACTTCAAATGATCGATTTTCACAAAGCAGCGAGGATGGCAATCGCTGAAGTGTTCCACACAAAATTCTCAGGGAATAGAAATACCCTACGGTGAAACACGACTATGTACCGGTGCCGCTCCAATCACAAACAGTGCCGACTAACACGACCATTTCCTGATCGACGCGGGCTAGACTTGGAACTAAGACCTATATGCTAGAGGTGTGAAAAAGCCGCGCAGAGCTTCTTCCGTAGTGTGGCATTTGTCAGACCACATATGTCTCGCAGCTGCATACAGCGTCACACCTGGGTTCTAATTGAGTAACGAAACTTTTGCTATCGTTCTAAATAAGCTTTCTAGAAATCAAATTCTTCTAAACATTGTTCCTGTCAACGTCTAAAACGGTCTTACATTTCTACGATAATGAGCACATATCAAGATAAATGGGGAAAATATGCGGTGTCGATATTTAACTTGGGACAAACTACTGGGCCTCCTACGTTTTAAGCAGAGATTGATGTATCACAACAACAACTGCCTTATGCAGCTGTGGAAACCTACACGATTTTTTCACGATATAGAGGGAGATATTTGAAGTGGCTTGTCCTCTTGTAGTCTGGATTTTCCAAACGTTGTCAATTCATGGCAGATGCTACTCAGTGGCCATTGTGTATCTTCATATTGCGTCATCACTTCACACTAAGTGTTTTACTCCGCATCTTTCTGCCCCATATGCCAGCTGCTACAACGGTGGAGTCTGTGAAACACTATCCTTCGGCGATGACAGCCCCAGTGGTATGTCCTACACTTGCCACTGTCCTCCCGCTTGGCAAGGATACTTATGTGAGGTGAGTTGCCCGAATAACACAGAATTAAGTTCGTGCAACAGTGGTACATTAGTCGTCACCTTGGTTATCCGGAACGCAGTGATAAAGTTGGGAGGTTACTGCTCATTTGCCACGAAGTTGTATAACCGCACGATGAATTAACGCCGTCAGTGTATTTCGCCGCATAACGGCGCCTGAAAAACTTCATTTCGGCTGGTGACCGCACGCAAAACTGATTAAATGCGAGTCTGTCGCATGAAGGGGATAGAAACGAGAGGATGAATGTCAGCATGAGTTGAATATAACGCATTCCATCTCACGTGAGTCTTTCCAAAGGCATCCCAACTGAGCACCGGAGTTCAGTGCATTTGTCAGATCCGCTGACTGCTCGCCCACGCACCGCTTAAATTTTCTTTGTTCTTTGAGCTCAACGGTGATTTCCAACGCAGCCTGCTTAGAGGAGCAGCGCATAAACATTTAAAACAAGTGTTCTTCACATGACCTTCATTGCTTTGCCGATGCTGAGATTCTGAGACACCGTCTAGTGCTACTCAAGCCACAGATGTGTAAGGAGATCATATGCATGGAAACTATGGTTACGGAGATTATATATTCGAAATAACTAAGATGGTGTAGGCGTGCATGATTACGCCTGTCTTAATTCTCATAGTTGGTGATGGTGATGTGGTGGTCAAACCCCTTCAGTCTTAGACAGAAAGTGTTCTAGCAGCGCTCAGTGAGCTCCCCAATGCACACTGTATCAGTTATAACTACCGACACAACTAACCGGCCACACAGTCGCCAAGCGCTCAATTTTACTCCCAGGAAACAGACGGGGATGTTGCTTGTCTGTCTGGACATGAAATTATATTCATGATCCCAGATCCAAGGAGAGTAACCGGTCACCATCATGAGTCGATTTCCGTCGGCAACAAATAGAGCTACTTGCACCTAACTAAAGTTGAAATTGTAATTTTCACGTGTATTTTTTTACGAAGGTTCTTGGAGTGCTTTCAGGTTTATATTATCACTACGAGTAAACCCAGTCAAATGGCCGTCACTGCAGCTCAGAGCACTGGGAGACAACGTCGTCGTTTCTGTTCACTTCACTAATACGGGAAGGATGCCGGTATCCTGGGTGACTAATTAATTAACTGGTTTATCATGCTTCAATCTCTGCTGATACGCGCAACTTTAGTATGAAGGGTAGGTAAACAGCAGCTTCCCGAACCTAATCCACTAATTACTTCATGTCATTAGCTCATGGCGTAGTATGGAGATCCAAAGTGTTTAATTTGGATTTATTGCATCCCAACTCGGTTGTACCGTCATCGAGATCTGTGTCGTATAATAACTGGCTCCCCAGTTATGTCAGCTACGGGATACTTCTGCGGGTCTTCTTACAGAACATTAAGCCTATGGAATGCGGAGAAGACGGAGTAGCCATCCATTACCATTGTAAATTCCGATTTTTATATGATTGAGACCAGCTGCTATAAGTTTCACTAAACGCCCCAGACCACTCTTCCAACATTACAATTACTATTACAAGATCCTTCTAAACGGTGCGAAATAAACTCCCTCTGACGGGAGATGATCATTGAATCTGCTGATCTATATCTCGGGTAAAGTCACTAATGCACTATTGTGGGGGAATGCACGGCGTAGGCAACGCTTGAATTTGGTGGTTAGCGGATTTTCAACCAAACAATCGGGGACCCTGTTAACTTCTACTGGTGTCAGACTGATACAGGCGAAGGATCGTAGTTGTTACGAAATAAGCCGGGAGAGAGCATGCACGCTCGTGAAATTCGTAGCCTGCAGGGAAGTGATTTGTCTATAAACTTTCAGTAGTTCGCTGATTAGGATAAATGAGTAGCACGTGACTCGCAGAATCAAAACTTTAACTTATCGGTCGATGCAATAAGTCGTAGACACCGACAATGGGTCCCATCGATCACCATTTGTTTGGTGTCGTAGTGCGAATCTTTGAGCGCCTTTTTGCATGGTGGACAAATTCAAGCATCCAGCACATATTCATTGAAATTAGCTACATCAGCAATCCCATGCACTTCGTGGTGGAGTAAACGCATATTTTGAAACTCCGCTGATCGATACGCGCTGAAGCGCATTTGATCTCTGACACTAAGAATTACGGACCAAGGCCGAGTCATTAATGGTTTTGTGAGCTAAGAATCCGTCACCTCCGGAGTCCAACCCCTCTGGACGATGCGAAAATGGGTATCCTACAAGGACAATTTGCAAATATGCAACACAAGCATTATCGACTTTATAGCTGAGCAGTTGGGCTACAGAGGTCTCGTCACTAAACTAGGTTATCACTGCGGCAATGGTTGGTGTTCAATTGTTCGTATGAGCGATGTTTCAACATCAAATTGCCCTAATCAGCTGTTCCTTGCAGTGCACGAGTACTGTAGACCCAAGGTTGTTGTCATTGTGAAATTGATTCTAAAACCATTGGTACGATAAGGACTTAGAAATCAGTGCTGTCGGTCGGTGTATTTCACGTGACGGGAGTAACAGCCACTACAGCGAGCACGCGCGCACCTGGACTTGTGATTGCCACACGTGATTCTCCTGCGTTGATGTGATCACTGCGTCAACCAGTTCCGAGTGCGTCAAAGCAAGAGATTCGTGAATTCCCCCCCCCCCCCCCACATTATCTCGTGTTGCTCCATGCACCACTCAGCCAGTCTAAATAGGTTCTCGTACGCGTCCTGTTAAGTTTATGGTAGTGTGGCCTACCTAGGTTCTTCCACAGGACAGACAAATTTTCCTCCAGCTGTAGAGGTAGCACAGATGTAGAGAAGAAAACTGTTTGTTTCATCGCCTTTCACAGCACTAAGCGCCCATACTACTAGCAAAGGACTCAGATGTGACATCGGTAACGTTGTTAAATAACGTGTTACTTCACTTTGCTTTTGGATCGAAACCCAGTCTAACTTTAAGTTTTGGAAGCGCAAATCAACAACCGGCACAATAAACGCGAGGCCTACGGAGAGAACGGAAGAGTATACAACACGCCGGATTTCTTCTAAGTAAATGGTGTGTTAGATCAATGGAACCATGCTGTGTTAGGGGTAAACTATGCAGTGCTTGACAAGTGCAGTGGAATGGAAATAATAGAGAAAAGAAAACATGCATTTATACATGCATAAAAGAACCATGGTGTTCACCTGATAATAAGTAAGGATCAAGGTGATTGGATTCCGAAACGGACTTTTGGTTGCATGTTGCAGACACTTGGTGAACTTAAGTTACAAACTGAAGTGTAAGCGGGACAATACATCGTCAATTAACTCCTTAAAATATTATTATGTTGGGGGAGCGTTCGATCGTTGGCACACTCGAAGATGGAATAAATTTGGACGGCTTTTATGCCTGCTGGATTCCGCCATGATTTGTGATATTTTTAATCGGCACTGCTGTTCACACTTTAATCACGCCACGCACGTAATATCAACTACTCTACTAAACGTGCGTTGAACGGATATTTTGGGAACAATAGACTTGACGATCCTGCTGTACACATTGGTCGGACCATAGTTGGACTGTGTCTTGCATGCCGATGAATATACTATATAATTATTTCCAAAAAGATCCTCAGCTTCCTAAAGATCTCTTTTCCTGATGGTCCAGATAGCATTTCTCTGGCTCTCTTAAAATGTGGTTGTCCCGATATCCCTATCCTGCGCCAGAGCATGTTCATCTTATCAATGAGAGCCAGCTCCGTTCCAACTCACTGGACACATGTTGAAATAGTTCCTCGTTACAAATGGGGATTGAGAAAGGCTGTAGAAAACTATCGTCCAGTTGGTTATATCTCCATTCTGCTTAAAGTTATGAAAACGTTTGTAAAGGAACGAACGCATGAATTTTTGCTCTCCAAAAATCTTATTTGCTCGACGCAGCATTGCTTTATAACGCATCGTTCTGGCCAGTTATGCCACCTGGAACTTTGCAGTAACATCCCAAAATGTATCGATGAGGGTAAACCTAATGGTATTATATTTCTCGATATGCAGAAAACCTATCACCAGGTACCACATGACAGACTTTTGTCAAGCTTGGCATCATTTGATCTAACTGACCACACTCTGTTGTTTTTCATCTTATCTTAACGCAAGAACCCAAGCAGTCAAGTTGGAAAACTACATATCATGCCCAGAGGTTTATACCTGTAAGCCTGTTGCCTACTACCAGGTTAGGAACGAAGCATTGTGATACATCTAGTTTTGAAAACGGTCGCGCATTGATCACTGTCTATCCCAGTGCTACGGGGGTTCTTGATCGTTCACCACAGCATCCTGCAATGCGTCAGAAGCAGTAACACGGGGAGCATATTCGTTTTTGTTTTGTCACAACCAGTCTTATTTGTGTAATCTATTGGATACTTTTCTTTTTCTCCAATTGCTCTTTGCATTCGTTTGTTTCACTGCAAAGCTGCAAAATTATCATAACATCATCACGTCATGTAGGACAAAAATCGATAAATATGCGAGTGAACTACGCAGCGTATCTTCTAGAGCGTCAGAGTAGTCTGGGTAGCAACAGGTGCTCCATTACTCAAATACTCAAGTAGGAGGAACTACAATCCCATTCGTATCAAGAATAAATAATCATGTGGCAGTTGAAAGCAGTGACGGCGCTTCGCTACGACGAGACCACCACCAGTCGCGCGTGGTCTGAGTGTACCACGAGGACGATGCCCCTACGCGTATTCGAACCGGTAACCTTATGATTGCAAGCCAGGCGCGCAGACCACACGTCCGTTTCTCTTTGTCCTCCACTGTACGCAATAAGTTCGCTCTCATTGACTCAGGCTGGCATAGTGTTGACCAACAGATTAACCAGTTCACTTTTCCCTGTGCATAGCAACACCACATTTCAGTTCCGCTTGGCTGAATACATTATGAGCTGCGCACACAGCCAACGCAACTGTCGCAACAGAACGACTTATTGCTACCTAGATGGACGGTGGTTGGTGTGTTGCATCCACATTCGCCGTTAGGCATCAGCGCCGTTTCTATTATATCGCACTGTACTCCACCACCACGTCTTCTGGAGATTTAGTATGCTCCGAGAATAAACATCATCGCTGGAATGAGACCAGACAGTTACGGCTTCGTGTTGACTGACCAATCGGTATCAATAAACACGAAGCTTGAATACAGAATACAGTATTTATAACCTAAGGTTTTACACACAAAAGCTTCCAACAATCCCTCTCAATAATCCACCCTTGTGTTGTGTAGGCTGTGCTGACAAGTAACTATCGGGTAGAAACTACTCATACTCGGAAAAGCAATGTACAGTCGTTTCACCATTCCGGGAATCGTCGGCAGCACGTATTCCATCTGACGATTTTTGGATTCGATCCCGCAACAGTCACCCATCTTTGGTTGAGACTACCTGCCTACGTGGGCCCTAATGGACATCAGGACTAAGTTACCAGTAGTGTCATAATGTAGCTAACTAGCCAAACAGGGACCAGAGGGAATACACGTTGCTGAGGATTCCCGAAAGTTTGAACGGCCGTGCTATGCTTTCCGGACTTATGATGTCGGTCTGACTGCGACTAGATGTGCTGAATTGCTACCTGTGCCTTTCAACACCTCCTTCTCCTCTTTTATACTTGAACATTAGCCACCAGCAAGGGCAGCAGAATACGCCGATACAATACACCGACGTTTCGCATCCACACGTCCACCAACTGCCGCGTGTGGGCCGAGTGTACCGCGAGGTCTCCTGTACCTACGCGGATTCGAATCGGTGGCCTCAGTATTATAAGGCAAGTGCCACGGGTCACCGGCCGTCAACATGAAATCGCTCCATGTTGAAGCTGAATACAGCACACGACAGTCCGCAGACAGTGTGTGCACCTGTTTGTATATCCTACTGTACCATGATAAGACCTTAGTTTACACACAAACACTCCTGTTGTGGCAAATGAATGACCATTGCCCGAAAGATGTCCACACCTCCAGCATTGACAGTCCATACGCGTGCGCATGAAGGTCTGTCTTTTGCTCAGCCGCTACTTGGCGAGTTACTCACAACTACATGATCGATGCGCTGAGCAGTGTATTTTTACCATGAGATACGGTACGTACTATCAGCTCAGTGTGTTCTGTTGGCTTTGTATCGGTTCTCCTACGAGGCGTTACTGCGTTTGCAAACCTTGCGTTTGGTCCGCACGCGTAGTCTTTAACACTTGCCTTTCACAAGTTACTACATGCTTCATCTCGCCACAGGAACCGAGGAATCCTTGCAATTTGGACCATGGCCTATGCCATCCGTACAGGTGTGTTCGGGACTCAAGAAACCTGGTCAACGGTTACGCGTGTGTTTGTCCAACAGGTACGCGCAGCGGCGGTCACATGCAACCACAATGTGTGAACATAAATGAATGTAATTTCGAGGCCAACCCCTGTCTTAACGGAGGACTCTGTGTTGACCTGGATCCAAATGACATCCGCTCCATAGCTCGTCCACAGGATCATCCGGTTGGATATGAGTAAGTGACAAGTGTATAATGTGGAAATCTTAGGTGGATTGCCTCTTGCCTTTCCGGCTGCTCCGTCGCATGTGTTTGCTTACGGCGTGGAAATTCTGTTTGCATATTGATACATCCGGTTGCCTGAACGGTTGTGTTACAGGGGAAAGGTTTATGTGCACTATGCATTGATACTCATCAAGGTCAGATCAGTGAACTTCACAGTTAAGATCCTGCCTATTTTGTTGCACTATCTCGCATGCGTTCTGTGCATTAATGATATCAGTAGAGTAAATCTACCGGGTTGTTGTGGCTGCGTGTAGGTTCAGCTACCTTTCTCCGACTCTGCGTTTAGTCCAGGTCACTTTCTTCACCTACTCCCACCGCTAATGTTCATCAAGAGTAGAGAAAATCACTGATTTACCTGAACTTTCGTCAGAGTTCACGGTTTGACCAAGGGGCTGCACGCGTGTGTTTTCACCTCTGAATGATTCCGAAAGTGAGCTGTTGAATATTGGGACAAAAGACAGCTGTCACGGACCATCGCCGAAAGTCAGCCTTCACTGGCAGAACACACTGAGCCAACAGTACAATTGGCAGTGCCACAACGTATGGATAGATATAATACAATAATAATGAACGAATAGAAGAGGTTAGAAGAGAAGTGTAGAACTGCAGTTATGGGGATAGAATCTCACGACTTGTTCGCCATTGCTCACGGTTTCTTGATATGTACGGTAGGGTTTCCAGTCATGTGCGTTCTTGATCCTTGCTTACCCACCCTGGGAGTCGACAGCTCCCGACCACGGTCAAATTTGGGGTCAACGCCTTCATACTTTTGACCTTCTTGTCTACGCTTCCAGTTGCCCTCTGGGCGCACAAAGAGTGCACGGTTAGCAACGCGCAGTAGGCATGCGAAGCAGGTGCTCAAGCCACCGAAGCCTATGCGGTGAAATAATGCGACCCAGCGGCCAGCAAAGACTGTCTGATCTGAAATGCTCTCTGCGCACATCCTTATTACTAATGTGATGTTGTCACAGTATGCCAGCAAAGCTGCAAATGAAGCGAGGATCAAAGACAGACAGCCACACAACATCCTCTGTGCAAACACGCCAAGCCTCCCAGTCGGATAACATGACCGTTCTCACCATGGTATTATAGACTCGAGCCTTCAGAGATAAGCTCAAATCGCATAGACGTCAGAGATGGCTGAGATTAGCAAACGCAACCAGCAGCTTAGAGATGCGCAAAGAGAGTTTATCCGTTAATCCGTTAGCGCTGATGCAGCTTCCGAGGAAAACAATCTTGGCTACCACTTCCAGAGAATGATCTGAAAGAGTAAGGTTGAGAACAGATCCTGGCCAGTCCTGCACGAAGACGTTGCTTTTCGAAGGTGCGAAGGTCATTCCAAACAGGAAGACAGACACCAACCTGCACAGCACAATTTGCGCAGCCTGTGAGGAATCGCAAATTACGGCGATGTCGTCTGCATACTCCAACTCGCAGTCTGTCCCCCGGAAGAAGCTTAACGCCGCTGGGTCCGCAGTTCTCCAGAACGCTCTACAGGACGTCATCTATAGCGAAATTGATCAGGAAGGGTGATGCTGAGCAGCCCTGTCTCACGGCGCTGGTGATACTAAAGAGAATGAAAGTCCGCCATACACCTGCACTTGGCCCGAGAGTAAGAGGCTCGTAGGATACTGACGTACTTCTTAGTCACTTCACTTCTCAAAAGACGGCTCCAGAGAGCAGCTCGGTCATCTGAGTCAAACACGTTTCGTATGTCTAAGAATACAATGATGTTTGGTCGGCCGAACGTTTGACAACACGCGAGTATTTAGCGGCGCGTAAAGATGTGATTGAAACAACTCCGCCCAGAACTGAACACAGCCTGTTCTTCGCGTATGTTCTGTTCACGTACCAGGCTGAGCCACCTTAAAAGTAGGGTAGCTCTTACTTTAGAGGCAACACAGATGGGACTAATCCCCCTGTGGTTAACACAGTCTGACTGGGCAACGTTTTTGAAGACGGGCACGATATCCGCTAGGCTCCAATCAGATGAGATTGCTTCGGTGATCCACACCTCTTGGATGAGGAAAGTTAACCCTCGAACAACTGATGATCCTCCATCGTTGGAAAGAGCCGGATGGATTTCGTATGGGCCAAGGGCTTTGTAAGGGTTTAGAGGTCGAAGCTCATGAGCAGCCTCAGCTTCAAATGGTGATGAAACGGCTACACACGAGGGATCACATTGGACTTCTGAATGGGAACACATCGGCTCTGCTGGCCAATTAAACCTGCTCAACATGGTCGGCCCAAAGATAAAGTCTGCGTTTTTGACAATGGATTCGCTAGTTATTGGTCTCGCAAAAAACATTTTTACAGTCGGTCTTCTGTCGACAGTAGATCGGATCAGGTGGAAAAGCTTTCGGAAATTCCCCGAACTGGCCGCCTGCTCCATGTCAGTGACCCGCCAGGCCACGTGCACCAGACCTTGTGGTCCTCCCGGAGGAGCTATGTTCGTTCAGTGTTAGTGCTTAGGCGTAGTGGATGATGCTCAAAGCCATCTGGAATTGCCCGACGATCTTCGAGCAATTGGAGGGATTGTGCAGAGATCCCGTATTTGTCAGAACTACTGATGAAACCACAGACCAGGGACGCAGAGTTGTACATGGTGCTGCGGATGTGGGCTCAATGTGTTTCAACGTCAGAGCATGAGACGATTTTGTGATCTGAGACCAACGCACCTGGAAACGAGCAGAGTAAGATTAGGGTAGAAAGCTTAGCCACGTCAAGCCGTTTCCCGTGACGACGTTGGGAGTCACCAAAACGTAAAGCGCTCTTGGAACACACGAGCGCCTGTTCCGAAGTGAGATAACTATCCAGATTGATCTGCAAACTATATGCAGCCCTGCCAGCAATACCTAGTGGCAACGTATTCAAAGTGGGTTCATAGCCTGTATGTCTCAGGTTGACACCAGGATCCCCGTGAGCTAGTGCTCGACAGGAAGAGGCCGTGATCGGCACAGAGCTCTAGTAGACGATCACCGTTGTCTGTTCTACGAGATCTATGGCCGGGTTGACCACCGAGTTCCCGATATTCAATCTGCGCGTTTCACTCCCACGTAAGCAACACGATGTCTGTACGGCGATTTTTTCGTAGTAGGTTGGACAGTTAACGGTAGAGCTCATTCTTAACTTACTCAGCGCTGCAGTCTGTGGGAGCGTAAGCTGCTACTAAGAACAGGTAAAGTCTGCTTGTCCCGCGATTAGTAGGTAGCACTGAGGTCTCAAGTTGGATCATGTAGAGTCGACTGGTGACATGGATCCAGTCTAGTAGCGCAGCCTCAGCACTTGTACTCAACGCAGTCCTCACGTCGGCAGCAGCAGCAGCTTCGGCGGTTGTGTATTCAGATAAGTGCTAGGTGAAAATGCCACCGAAACTAGCAGACGGGGAAACCAGTCGTAGTGTTATGTTAGAGCCCTGTAATCGGGTTTCAGTAGGGCAGTAATCACATTGGCAGTGGTCACAAGCGTGCGAGCAAGGGCTACCTTTGATCTGATCTGCATAAGCATCCGGAAGTTAAAGACAGCCAGCTTGAATTGGGAACGGGGCTCTAGAAAAGGTTTGCCAGTACTATTTGGCGGCGCACCTCCGGATCTAAATTTCTGTCCCGTATGGCGCGAACACTCGCCCACGGCGGCACAATGTTGTGAACTGGGAAAGGTGGGGGACTACCAAAGATGGGGAAGTTTAACAAACGTGGAATAAAGTGACCAAACTCTGGTGGGGTAGAGTGCGGTATGGCGTGTTCGACCGCCTGCACCTCGGCCGAGAGTAGCAATGGCACAGATAGTAGAGAAAGAACAGAATGTCGTTGAAGCATTTTGTAGGCATGTTGCTTCACGTATACCCAGGCAGTAAAAGTATGTTGACTTAGGGGACCACATACTTAGCCTTGGGTTATAATAGGCCTGATGCGTAATGCAGCTTGGCGATTGACATATACCGCGAACCGCTGGAAGCCGGCTATCTAGGTGAGGGTGACACGGTTTTCGAGTAGCGACTAACTACTCAGTACTCCCAAGAATCCCGTATGTAGCAACACGGAGTCCGGAAGAAAGTTCCTGGATCACGGAACATGCCTAAGAGCACGAAGGCTGTTGCGAGCCGGGTAGCTCGGACACCTTCGCAGAAGCCGGTGGCCTTTAAGGTAGGTGATCAGCCCTCCGTTGAGTGCTCACTTCTGGTTGCGGGAGTGAGTGGTCAGTGACCCTACGGCAGGTCACAATGGCTTTGACACAGCGTCTAATGAGCTCTTGTGGCATCTACTGAAGAGCCAGGTGACCGGCTCAGAACCCCCACGCTCTAGGACGCTGCCGCGGACTGTCCGCAACTGCTTATTCATCTCGCCCGTGAACAGCCGAGACTTATTCACAATTAACTTCGGAAGGATGGCGTTCCACGATCCGCAACCTGGGGACGCGACCGGTGGCGTACAGCTCCGCCGAACTAATCAGTGGTCAGTGCACTTTCGGAGAATGTTTTATCTGTTAGAGAACGAACTTTATATAAATTACCCAAAGATGGCGTCCATTTAGGAATCATGTCAGCTCCTACTATTCCTGAACTTATGAATAATCACCATGCTAGGAGGTCCAATTAACAAAGTGATCACTTTTCAATAATTTTCATCGTGCCATCACAATTATAAGAACGATCAGACAACACTGGAAGCTACTGCAAGCTGGCTTGAAAATAATTAAACTACAAGCTTTTGAACGAGGCCAGTAATTTGACCTATACCTAGTTCAACAATTTTTAAGCAGACTTGGCTACCAACCTGACAAGGTCATCCCCCACACGCATGACGTGCGTGCTCCTGATTCATTTGGATTATTCCCCTCTATGCTCTCTCCATCTTCTCGCACCGCTGTCACTGTACACTCATTCGAACCGCATTTACCAGCCCTACAGAGTGATCCCTCATACAAGGAAATCTCTTCCACGGTTAGCGTCT